ACAAAACAAAATCTAATCGAGATTTAATCTAACATGGACCGCAAATAATGATGAAACAACGTTGACCTATTTGAGAATCTTTCTTTCAGGATTTAGGATGAAATGATAAATCCGGGATGACATTATACAAATTGACAAAATCAATTCAGTCGTTGAGTTTTTAAATAACTGAAAAGAAAAATAAGAAAATACTGTGCCTTGTTACAGTGCTTATTTTATGGTCACTAAAAATAGACACAACAAAGTCTAAATATCGAAACTATAAGGGTTCCTTGTCAGGACTAAGGAACCCTAAAAAGCAAGAAATAAATAAGATTGTATCAAATTAAAACCAATTCCATAAATAAAAACCTCGGATATAATTACTTTGGTATTCTACGGAAGAAACATTACAAACTCAATTGGCAGCCCTAAGACAACAACTGACGGATGTCCGAAAACCAGTTTAGCTAGAGGCAACTCCAAGAGCTCTCCCGGTTACCATCGCCCGTTATTGGTGGAAGTGACATGTGACGTCACATCACCCATTTGACATACTTCCCACGCCATGGACGGTTTAGATTTATTAGGTTGTGGTTAAATAAACTTATTTGATTTGATTTGATTTGATTTGATTTTAAATTGTGATACGCGTGAAATTGGTGTGTAATTTATTAAAATTAAAGTAATTTATTCCATAAACCCGGTTTCGTAATCGTATTGTTGGCAAAAGAAACTAAGTAATTCTATACATAACTTATAAGTAAATTAGAGAAGGTAAAAGTTAGGTAGTAAATCAAGGATTATTTCGAGCTATAGTCTTTTTCACGTAAGATGATCCGTATGACACTTCAAGGTTATCCATATTACGCATACTACATATGAGAATATTTTTGAAAAAATATTTGTATTTTATTAGCAATATAATAAAAAAAAAATTAACTACTTGTCTTGAAATATATAGTAAAATCTGAGTCTATTGATTATATTTTAATTAAATACGATGTAAAAATATTTTTTATTTAATGTACGCAATGTGTGAAACGGAATAGATTTAGTGCTGGGGTATTTCTTGTATAATAAAATCGATTATTTCCGCGGTTCATTAATCGATTGCAGTGAATACTTAGTTATTAAAAACATCACAAAAATCAACTATATTTTTCGATTATTGACTTTTGAAAAAACTTGCATTGAAAATAAATTAATAGTTTTTAATTTAAAGAAACAGAACCAGTACTTTTTAGGAATCGTTTTATTTAACACGAACCATGTAATTTGAATATTATCAATAAAAAATTGTTACAATAATATTTGTAATTAAAAAATAAACATGTTTTTTGTTAAATAACACCTATACAAAATATTTCTCTAAAAGTAGGTTTTACCAACTCTTCGAAAAAAATCGATAGATAAATCGCTATGGTTTAGTTGTGTGACATCTCTAAATCTTTCAAACTCGAAACGTCATACGGATCATCTTAGGTGAAAAAGACTCATACTTAGGCTGAATTGCACCACCTTCACCTAACTTTTTTAATTTGTCAGATTTTTGACGTTTGTCAAAGTTAAAGTAAGATTGTGTAACCCAGTCTTATACCCGTTTTCACCATCAATCACTATTTTTTAAGTGGCCCCTGTGAAAACAAAATTCCTGTTTATGTATGTATTACCATAGGGGTCACTTAAAAATTAGGGATTGATGGTGAAAACGGGTATTAATGTAGCAAAAGAGAGGTGTCCTACCGGTCGAGCGGTCTTTAACACACTCGAGTAACTTGGTAATATAAAACTGATTGAAATTTTTGCAAAAAGGCTTTTTAAAACCTCTTTTAGACATCCCAGTATTAACCCTACCACTGCTTCGGGACAATAAATGGGCATGATGGTATATTATGGGCATTTAAATAAATAGCATTTAAATACTATAAGACACAAACAATTATAACTACAAAACAATACTTATTTACCCATGTCCCAGTGCCCTATTTACTCGTACAACATCTCAATTCACTCCTAACAGTCAAAGACTATCTTTAATGACTAATACGGCTAACATTAAAAGCTCATAACCAGTTATGACGAAGCGAAAACTGATGACTGATAGGTCAACGAACCATGAGTGGGCTGTCAAGTGACAGTGAACATGGTATCGATGACAAGTACACAGATTCACTTTAAAACATTTTAGACAACCCTGAACCAGGCATCTGATATGGCTGTAACGTATACGTCATCTTAAGGTACAACACTTACGCCCGTATTCACAAACGATGCTTCCTTAAGTGAAGCAGCAAATCTAATGCACAGCACAGCGTAGGGCTTGAATACCGGAATTCCGGAATTTCGTAACTCCGGAATTTCGGATACATTTTTTCCGATATTTCAATTCCGGAACTGACGCCAATATCGTATTCCGATATTGAAATTTTTCATAAATTATTTTAAGTTTTCAAAACGTTTAAGTATCAAAATAGGTTCTTAGATAAGGAAGTCCTTGAGATATGTATTCGAAACTTTATTAGTAATAATATTAAAGAGGCAATAGGGCGAAACCAAAGCTCCAAAATGTTCGCTAGAGACAACTCTAATGGGCGAAGCCAGCTGAAGAGAGCGGATGATAGAGTAAAACCTGTTAATAGCTCTGCCACAGGACAGTTCCAACAGCTAAGCTAACTCGACACTATACCGAAGATTAGCCGGACATCAGCCCTTACGTGATTAGGATGGCTCTTAAACAGCTAAAGAATAACAAGGCACCGGGTGATAACGGAATGACCTCGGAGCTTCTGAACGCGGCAGGTGATAAGCCGATACTGAAAGTCCTTCATAGACTGTAACTCCGTCTTATTCCAGGGAATAATGCCAGAGGCACGGAACAAATGCTTGGTGGTGTTTTTCTTTAAAAAAGGGGTAAAAGCCTTATTAAGGAATTACAGACCCATCTGGGTTCTGACTCTGAGTCATGTCTACAAGCTATTTTTGAGAGCCATCACGAATAGTCTCGCGCGTAGGTTCGATGACTTATAGTCTCTCGAGGAAGCCAGTTATCGAAACGTTTACACTACCATATACCGCATCTATACGCTACGGCAGGTTATACAGAAGACCGAAGAGTCTAACTTGCCTGTATGCTTGGCGTTCTTAGACTATGAGAAGGTTTTTGAGCCTGGCTGAACACGAGGGCGATTCCTCTGCAGCGAGCTGTGAGGCAGGGAGATGTAATAATACGTCGAATTCAACTCGGCTGGGCAGCGTTCGGTAAACTACATATAGCCTGACCAGGAACATAAAAACCCTCGCCATGTTGCGGAAAACTAATGGTACTAATTTCTTTTAATGGCAACAGTAACTGAAAACTTCATTGACATGTCACCTTGCATGTCAGTCTATTGCTGTCAAAGTTTAAACAAAGTTTATTTTAAATGTGCGCAATTGGTTTTATGAATTAAATTGCTAAAATATTTTTATAGTCGTGAAAGAAAAGTGGTTCACAATGTGTTAAAGTATTTGTCGAAGAGAAATACTAAGGGTTTGGACAATATTTTCATTGAATAATGTTTCCGACAAAGGTTGTCAAATTGAATGTTTATCGTATAGTACAGTCCACTATGAAAATTAGCTGTGGTTTGTTTCAACTACCTATTTTTAAAAAAATTCTCACTTTCTAAGTGTTGAATTTTATGGGATTGGGAAAGAAGTACCGAGTTTGAAGCGTTCATGAGCAGGCATTGCAGTTGAATATTCAAGTTCTGAATTTGATTATTGATGAATAATAAAATAAATTCTACTAGCTCGATTGATGGTTTCATTTAATTTATTTAAATCAGGTTACCTATAATAATATTTTTTCGTTAATTTATGAAAATATTAAATTAGCCCGTAATCCTGAATCCTGATAGGTACACATAAAGTTAGCCTATTAATTTAACACAGGTACGACTGTACTCAGTGTTGCACTATCAAATGCAATTGACGCGCCTCTATGCCAGGGTTTTTATGTTCTTGGTCAGGCTATAACATCTTTTCGACCAAAACACTTCAGTGCCTAAAGACGAAAGTCTACAATCAGTGTGTGTTACCAGTAGTGATGACACACGGTTCGGAAACGTGGCCTCTTACTATAAGGCCTTATAATAAGCTCAAAGTTGCACACCATGGTATGGAGAGTGCTATGCTCGGTGTTTCTTTTCGAGATCGAACCAGAAATGAGGAGATTCGTAAACGAACTAAAGTTGCCTGACATATTATAGCGATCGGATTACCAAACTAAAGCAAAAGTGGCAATGGGCAGGGCACATAGTACGTAGAACAGACGACCGATGGGGCAAGGTTCTAAAGTGGAGGCCACATACGTGTACGTGTTTGTAGAGAGGCGCTTTCTTTTTTTAACCAACTCCGGAACTAGAACCGGAATTCCGGAGTTGAGTGCCCAATATCGGAAATCAGTTCCGGAGTTGAAAACTGTCCGATATTGCAAGCCCTAGGCCACAGCGTTGAATAGAGCTCAGTGGTTGGTTCATGTCACATGAACATGAATCATGGTGTCACCCTGTGCGTCCTCGCGCACTGTGAGACCTCATAGTAATGTTTGTGAATACGGACGTTACTCATTTAGTAATGAACAAGTGCATGCCAGTTAACTATTGAGCATTTGCTACTTAGTACAATGCCAATAATAATAATCAAGCTCATTTTGAGTTGTTCGAGCACGCTTGTTTTAAGCATGCTAATAAGCATGACATTTTATGGTATGTGTAACTGTACTTTAAACGTGTCCCCCGAATCCCGGAATCTTAAATACAAAACACATTCGATACAAGTTCAGCAAGGGCTAAGGGCCTCGATTACACTCATGATCATAAGTTACTAGGTATTTTATAAAATATGTTTAAAAAAACATTGACAATGTAAGAAGCGCCGAATCAGTCAAATCCATAGAAAATATCTGTACACTTACTTATCCATAAGTATTTTCAGCCTTCTAATGATTTTATTAACATAAACCTTATTTGTTTCAGGTCCAGTCCCCCTAGCGAGAAATATAAGGCATTTGCCATGCATATCAAGAAGAACAGGCCAAGAAGGGCTCTGCATGTTCGCCATAGACTGCCTCAAAGCCAACGGTTCCCACCTCGGGACATGCATCGACAGGTTCTACTTCGGATCCTGCTGCCAGATCCCGGACAAAACCATCCTCCCACAAATCATTGGCAACAACATAGAAGACAACAGCATAGACAGTGCGAATTTCGTCCATCCGCAAACTGAAGATAAGGTCCAAAGTACAGTCAGCAAAATCCCAGATATATTCCCCACTAGGAAGACGACTACAGAGAAAGCGACAGAAGCTACTGTCACTGAGAAATCAGAAACGGTACAGGACAGAACCGAACCTGTGGATTTGGAAACGAAAACTGATGATGTAACGACGATTGATGATAAAAACGATGGAAAACTAACAACGATGGTAGAATCAACGACGAAGGCTCAAGCAACTAAACCATTAGCTACAGAAGTTCCTATCAAATTGTCAACCTTCCAAACAGTGTCAGGTGATAATTCAGTGACGGAAGTACCGAAGACTGAAACGACAGAAGAAGAGAAACAAACTACGCCTACAACAACAACAACGAAGAAACCAAAACCTTTAGTTACGAGAAAACCAGTGAAACCAACGTATAAGCCCAGACCTACTTATAGACCGTCGAATTTCACTAGACCACAGTTCTCTCCTTCCACCCTCAAACCAAGACCCACAAAGCCACCGTTAATATTCAATATCACAAGGAAACCACCACCTATCAAACAACCTCCGAAAAGAAATACCACCAAAAAACCCTTACCATCCCCACCAAGGCTCAATATCACCATAATCCCCCAATCTACAAGTAGTAGACCAATATTTACCAGACCTCTCACTACTTCCATCACCTACATCAACTCGACACTCGCAGCCGAAGAAAAACCTACAACGACAACGACAATCTCAACTACTACGAGTACAACTACGCCATCAACAACAACGACAGAAAAGTTAACGACAACAACAGAAAAGGCAACAACGACAACAGAAAAAATTGTAACAACGTTACCAACAGAGAGAGTTACGGAAACAGAAACTGTTACTGAGACTTCAATTGTTTCGTCGACTGAAGAAATGACAGAGAGAATGACTGAAAGAACGACTACTATGGAACCTTCTTCAGTACAGCCTTCATCAACAGAATCGTCGTCAGAAATTCCTTCATCTGAATCATCTTCAGTAATTCCTTCATCTGAATCATCTTCAGAAATACCTTCTTCTTCAGAATCTTCTCCAATCGAAGAACCTGTTCAAGAAACTTCTCTAACGACACCGACTGAAGAAATCAAAGAGACCACGTCTCCTATCACCGAAAAAGAGACCATAAGACCGGCTACTGAGGCTGATATTCCTGTATCATCATCATCAGCTGCTCCTACGGTAGTTTCCACGGAGTTTCCGCCCTTCGTCACGTGGTCAACGGTGGATGGGGGAACGAAAGCACCTGAGGGAACGAAGGCTCCTGAGAACCTCACTACTCCAGTTGATGGTAAGTTTTGCTTTTATTTGACTTGCGGTAATATTTTGACATTCTTCGCCGAAATTAACGACACCATTAGAAAGCAATTATAACGTTAAACAAAGTCAAAGAATTTATAGGTTCCCTCCTGAGGCAGGTAATTTTAGTAAACATACTTACTATTTCAAATATGATCCCTTTAAATGCATAATCCATAAGCTACAGGAATAGATAATTAGTTAAGTAGTTTAACAATAACTAATTTTTCAATTTAGGCTTGAAAACTATTCTAGTTTTCACTGAACTGTAAGAGTAGGTGCACACCGTTGATTGTTCGTCGGCCTATAGTTAAGTCGGGCAGTTGATCAGTATGGGCATGTATGGGAGTGCGCACACTACGCTGATTCGATTTGGCCGATTCTTCATACAATTTAAAATCGGGCACAACTATCGGCCAACTAAAAATCAACGGTGTGCTTAAAGTTTGAATTGTTTGTGTAAGTGACAACATGGGTCTCTAAAAATTACAGCTGTAATTATTGGGGGTATAAGCTACCCAAGTAGAAAAGCAAGAAACATTGCAATCAATTACAAAAGTATGAAACCAGTAAATAGTGTCCTCGAGAATTTTCTCAGGCGTTCAAAGGCGCTTTTTAACACCTATGACAAAATACTAGCAACAACATTTGCTTTTAAAAAACAAGCAGGAGTTACGTTTTACCCAACTTAGCAAAAGCTGATATTGTTGAGATCTTTAACATGAACTACGATTGGTATGAATATAAACTTTCTTCTAAAAGTACCTATTTCTAACCTTTAATATAATTAAGCGACAAACTGTAGTATTTTTCCAGTATTATCTTTAATCAAAGTTGGTTCACCGATTTAGAAGTAGACTTTTAAATGTGTACGAAACGAAACAATCTCTAGTAGACTTATTGTGTACACAGTGTGAATACCTAATTTATGTGCTACATTAATATTCTTAGGTCATTACACTACGCCTAACGCGTTTTAGATTTATAACTTTAATTAGGTAGGTATGGTTTGGTTACTAATATAATAATTAAATACCTAATGTTTTGTATAAGCTGGTTCCATAATCATCATTATGAATCATAATTTATAAAGAACTCTTTTCCAAAAAACTTCTTTACATTTTTGTTATTAGTGGCCAAACCATTGAGTCATATAATCCAAATTTTCCTTAACAGACCTGTTGATAAACAAATTAAAAATCCAGGTCACTGTATCGGAATATTAATAAGTTTGAAATATAACTTTCACATCCTTCCAATTTACGGTCTTGACTCGTGAGTCACATGTGACTCATAGTCGTAACTGTCACCAGACAAGAAAGATGTAACAGGTAGTTCGGCGTATTCAATTATTTATCTAGTTATGAAGAGGTTTAGTTGTTTTTGTCTACTAATATTAGAGTTAGAACGTTTGTTTGTCTGCACAATTTTTAATTTAGGTAAACTGTGACGGATAAAAGTTTATTTATTTCCTAATAAATAAACTTTCTCTCGAAACTCGGCATTTAATTCCTAACTGTTTTAAGTACTTATTTAGAAAGAAAGAGCGACGTTTATTTGGCTCTAGAATGAAAACTCTAAGTTTAGTCAATAAGACTATTTTACATAATTAGGATTGTAGGGTAAACACTCTTTTTGCTTCTATTAAATTAGAGAGGGTCGTGCTCCTACACTGGAGACTATTTAAATGACCTGAATCATTAAAATAAAATACATATTTTATTTATGTAAACACACTGTAACATTATACTGGCTCCTACAGTAATGAAAACTGTATTTCAGCAACACTAATTTAAAAATTTTTGCTTGAAAAAAGGCCTCTTCTAACTTTTTACAAGTAAACAAAGTCAGGTGATACAAATAGTTAATTTTACTACTTGAATAGAATGTCATTGATCTTACATCGTAGGCGGCAACAAAAACACTAGTAATCCTTCACACGTTGTATTGTGCAAATATTATGGAAATCATAGAGATTAGAAGCAAATATCATTTACATGGTTTACCGTAAGACGATGGTTTAATAAACTTTTAGTAGGTGAAATGGACAGAACAACTTATTTTAATGTTATATGCGAATATAATGTAACTCTGTCGTGACGTGCGTGCGTGACGTCAAGATTTTGAATTTTTTTTATTAAAAAAATAGGTAATACCTAGTTGTTGCAATTCACGTAGGTGTGTGAGCTTTACATGTGTGGAGGCTCGCTACTGTTCGTTTTTCAAAAGTTTTGACAGACATTACACTATCGTTATGTGCGTGTACACGTACACACACAAGTTAAGCTCACTCGCCTTCGTGAGTTGCAAGAACTAGGTGAGGTAGGTGTACTTTTAAAGAAGTTGTGATATGGTGTCAACTACCCAATTTTGCTGAAAGAAAAACTTAAACCTGGACTCTAGCGCGTGTTTTGCCATACACAATCAACAAAAACTAGTCAACATCAACATTTTTGTAGACAATTTTGTTGAATGTTGAGATGTTTTAGGTAGACTACTTTTACTAAGAAATTGTAAACATAAACTAAAGGAGCTAGTATTGACAAACCCCAAGTTAATTCTATAATAAGCGCAAGCTCAAGCTTTTTTGAGCTTTCTTTAAACTTTTAAGTTGACCTTATCACCAGTAGTTCTGGACTCTGCCTTATTTTTTTCAATGGCACCATAAGTAGTTTGCTTCACTCTTATTTTCCACGGGATAAATATCAGATTAACGTGTTAGGCGATTATCACACTGCACCGCGTTCCGCCGCGGTACGCGGGACGACAGATTTAATCATTATATGCAAGTACCTCAGTTTGTATAGAAAACACGCGCAGCACAACACACTGACAACGCATTTGCGCGCGGGATTCGTTATAATTTTGTGTCGCCACGCGGACCGCGGCGGAGCGCGGTGCAGTGTGATAATCGCCTTACCATGATAATCTTTTTTAGTTCTTTTATGTATGTTTTATCTTGTATTGTGCCTATATCTTGTATTCTGCCTATATCTTGTATTCTGCCTATATCTTGTATTGTGTATTGTGCCAAATAAACAATATTCTATTCTATTCTATTCTATAATCTGTATTCTGAACTTATTTCAGTACCACAAACGGTACAGCACGACTCACAATCACGATCACGAATCACGAAGTACGTGACCATCTTTTGACACATTTACCCGATTTTGGCGAATGCGTGGAAGAATGAAAGTAAAATATCACAATAGTCTTGTGGTTAGACGGTTGTATTCTGCGGGTCTTGGGTTCGAATCCCAGATCAGAGAAATCTTCGCTAGACTAATATTTATACGTACAGAAATTGATGACCATTGCACATTCATTGGATGAATTTCGGTAAAGCGAATAAAGAAATGTCCCTTAATTGATTCATCTGTAATGTCATTTTTGAACTCAATAGTTATTAAAATTTCTTAGCGATTAGAGCCGCTTTTCAAACTAAAGTTCATTTATTCAAGTTGTTTAGGTATTTGAATTTGAATGAATAGAATATGAACTCTTCTTACTATAAAAATATTGCCCGTATTCACAAACGATGTTTGCTTAAGTGAAGCAGCAAATCGAACGCACAGCGTTGAATAGAGCTCTGTGATTAGTTCGTGTTAGCCTTACCAGCCTTACCCTGAACGTCCACGCGCACTGTGAGACCTCATAGTAGTTTGTGAATACGGGCGTAAGAGTATAATCTACTTTTTTACGACTCCTTTGCACATTTCTCCAGACTATTTCAATTTCAAAAACATTTACATAGGTAGCTAGATACCTAAGAACCGTTTGAGGAATGTTTATGAAATTTGAAGTTGATGTTTATCCAGCAAGTCTGAACACATGAGCCAAATGTGTTAATGCACAGTAGTTTTTGATTGATGAGGAGTCAAAAGTGGTTGCAACTGTTTCGTCTAAATATACGCACGGTGCAGTCCCCTCCCTGGATCTAGGTTTAACATGCTCCCGCATGTCTAGAACGTTTGCTCAATATTAATTTAGTCGATTTTCTCCTGATGGGAACATGTAAGACAAAAATAAAATTTCGAATATTACAGACCTTCTAGAGCAGATGCCGCGAAAACTATACAATATATAGAAAAACTTGACTATCTCACCTGTAGCAAATTTAATAAGCTTTTTTTGGTTCATAGTAGTCAAAGTCATGTCACTAGGACGCATAGTTTCCGAGGATTAAGCGAAAAACCGAAAAGTGGTACCTTTAAACCCCCGTCTCCCCGCCGGCTCAAGGGCTAAGGGCGGGGACTTTTGCTATGTTCACCTCCTAACTGGTCTAAATAAAGTCCCCGTAGTCAGAAATTGTGTTCCACGGATTTCCATTTATAATGCTTTATTGACTGGACTACAAACTGCTAATTCTAATTGTGTACAGAGTTAATTTAACGATACATAATTATAGTGTAAACACACACTTAAGGTAGTTTTGTCGCGAGTCGTCCATATTTCATCTTGTAGAAAGAGATTAATGTATAGGCACTCACTAAATGTTTTAATTGCATAATTTTAAACTGCATCAATAACCATTTATTTACTTTTTTAGACACGTGGTCACCCATAACTCCACCAGACGGCTGGGTTTTAATATCAACAGTCCCACCTTCATCTACCTCTGAATCAACAACAAGCACCACCACCAGCACAACAACAACAACTGAACAACCGACAACAGTTGAAGCGACCCAAGCGTCACAAGAAACCACAGTGCAACCTGAAACTACGGAAAAACAAGAGCCTGTAACAACGCCATCAACAACAACAACAATGACGTCATCAACAACAACAATGACGTCATCAACATCAACAGAGTCCACGTCAGCGCCGTCAACAACAGAAGCGCCAATCCTAGAGTTTACGGTCAACGTGACGCTGTCGCCAACGGTGCCTACGTCAACCGTCAGTGTGACTACGATGACGCCGGTGACGGAGAATGTGACGAGTGTGACGAATGCGACGGAGGCTGACACGACTACAGCTGGTAAGAAAGAATGTTTACGCTAAATGCTATAAAGCATAGTTTAATAATGAGTACAAAATTGAGCCGAATTTCAAAGATAATTAATAATTTACTTTCTTCGTAGTTTTTTCAAGTTCTTTATTAAGTTTTATTTTTTATTTTTTAAATTAGGTTTAGTTTAGGTTAATTAATTAGTTATCTTTAAATATTATTATTGTATTATTTTATTTTGGCAAATAAAATTGATGGTTCTTTCTTGGAAAATTACATAATGAAGAGTAATTTATGACAATACAACACTTAATATGTTTGCTATGATAATTTCGTTGCGGGTCCAATGACAGTTTAACTTTCCCGCGGGACAAAATTGACCTTCATTGGTTGGGTTTTAATGGCGGTCAAGCTGTAGATTCTGGCTACACAGGAGTTGCAGCGGTGGGAACGAGAGGTGGGAATAGTCCCGTTATGTTTTAAAAAATATCTTTTCTAGGCTAGAATCAATACTTAAGTTTGAATCGAGTTTTGAGCATAATTAGTGACCGACCGAATATTCGTTTTCGTTTTCGTTTTCGGCCATTTTCGGCCAAAAAATGGACATTCGGCCATATTTTCGTTTTCGGCCAAAAACCAGCCGAAGCTTCGGCCAAACCAAATATCAGAAATACGTGAATAAGATGATGACGTATAACGTTTGGATATCTTCAGAGTGAATGGGGTGCACTCATGGTTCCAATCAGACTTGAACGGACGCGGTATTGTCACACTGTTTTGAAGTTGTGAAGTAAGATTACGTTGTAAAGGATGTCCAGCGGAAAATTTTAAAGTTCAAAATTGAATACAAAGCCAAATTTAAATACGCCATGAGTCACTGGTCGGGAGCCCACAGAGCGTTCGCAGTTGAGCAATATTTGAAGTTCAGGCAAAAAATCATTAGTTTTATTTGTATTCATTTTTGAAGTGAAAATATTCCCTCTGGTCACCTTTTATTTCTTCTTCACTTGCTTAAATAAACGGAAAAAGCAATATTCCAGTATAGACTGGAAATAATATTCCATTAAGAATACATTTATAAATATCTTAAATTTTTAGTCTAATGTCGGTTTTCTTTAATAAAATTTATTCTTAAATCCCAAATCCGTCTGTCAACTATCAAACGTCAATATGTTTTTGGTCAAAATATTTACGGTTTTCGAAGTTTTTGCATTTCTCATATTGTTTGCGACTACTTAAACAATTTGAAAGTAAAAGCATCGAAAATTATGGATATTTCATCGGAAAAAGATAAAAATTTGACAGTTGAAGGTCATTTTCGTTTTCGTTTTCGTTTTCGGCCGAAAATGAGACTGCAGCCGAAGCTTCGTTTTCGTTTTCGTTTTCGGCTGAAAATTCATATTCGGTCGGACACTAAGCATAATATCATAACACGGACCTTCGTAAGCAATAAAACTCTATTTTTATGATTATTAAAATCCCAATACCGCAAATAATTCATTTTATTATGATGCTTTTAGTTGTTTTTGTGGTTTACAATAATAAAACCCATTTGCTTTTGTTTTTAGTGCCAGTAACGACAACTCTGAGCTCACTGAACATGTCAAATTATAAGGAAGGTGAGTTTTCTGTTTATTTTTTATTATAAAAGGATAAGTTTAATAGACAAAAATAATTTGAGTTAGCCACCAATTAGTAAAATTTTTGAATCGTCAACATGTTCACACTCCTCGTAAGTTCTTCTGATTAATTTCGTTGCGGGTCCAATGACAGTTTAACTTTCCCCCGGGACAAACTTAACCTTCACTGGTTGGGTTTTATTGGCGGTCAAGCTGTAGATCCTGGCTACACAGGAGTTGCAGCGGTGGGAAAGAGAGGTGGGAATAGTCTCGATTAGCAAGTGATAGAACTTGTCTAATATCGCTAAATGATATAAGTTCTCGTAATCTGATTATTACTACATAAGTATCGTGTTTTTCGATCCTTGAGATGTAGAATTAGAAAAGCGAAATTCTTTAAAGAATGAAATAATCAACAACACATAAATTACAAAACAAACTTACTCGAAGATCATTAAAATTCTAAAGTCAAAAAGTTCACCTGCTCAGTATGTTTTAAGGTCCAAGTCTCATTAAATATGAAAAGGTTCATAAATAATTGATGCAATTCATGAAGGCGAGTGAACTTTACCAGAACATAAAATATGTGGTGGCTCGCTACTGTTCGTTTTTCAAAAGTTTTGATACACATTACACTATCATTGTGCATGTACACGACTACACGTACACATACAAGTAAAGCTCACTCGCCTTCGTGAGTTGCAAGAACGAATCTACTTGATTATAAGTATGATGAGCACGCTCAACCCAAAAATCTCAATTCAAACGGGCCTAGATTAAATTTTAATAGGCTAAATAAGAGCTGCCATAAAGCTTCTGGTTAAGGAGGTCTTTATCTACGAGTCAACCATAAATAAATCAAAATCATAGCACAATATGCACATAGAGCAGAGGCCTCGACAAGGAAGTCTAAAATTAAATTGCCCTCAACAAATTGCGGCGATTATCTCATTTAATTACATCTGCAGCTTCCATTGTTTTAATTTTAATTCACGATTGTTATACTAGTACGATAATGACGTTAAGCAGACAAAAAGATTGATTAATTATTAATTAATGATTGATTATCAGTTTGCGACAAGGAAAGTGACGTCTTTGAAGGAACACGAACTTGGAAATTCATGAAAAATTAAACAAAAGCCATAACATAACCCTCCTTTTGGCGCAGTCGGGTAAAGAGTAAGAATGATTAAGAGTCCCCCATACATTTGTACATTAAACAGGGTACAAACGATGAACTTAATGCCATATGGCATTCTCGTCCAGTCAACCTTTATTAATATCGATACCTCTGGGCTCAAAGGTCGTAAAGGACAAAGTACGACTTTTCAGGAGAAGCAAAAAACGTTTTTTTATTTTTTTATTCGACGATAACTTTTTTGTTTTTTGAGCTATTAAATTATGACTTATGAAGAAAGTGCTTAGAATTCACAGCATTTTCCGAAGAGGTATTGAAAAACTGGACTAGAGCTGTATTTACTGAGATAGATTTCCTTTACGCCCTCAAAATTACAATAAAAAGACCTTTACGCCCCTCAAATATTCGTCCTACGCAAGTTACTCAGGACGTAAGTCTATTTTTATTTCACAAAACTACAAAACTAAGGTAATAAATGACAATTTACATAGTTTTGTAGGTTTTCATGGGTCGTAACGGGACACCCAGGTAAGGTATTATGAAAGGGTAAATTGATGATTTAGCTTAAATATTTAATATTTTATGGTATTTCATATGTAATATACCATTTCTTCACATATTTTTAATGAATTATGGTCTTTTAAATGAAATAAAATGATTTTCCGTAGCTTCATAATTTAATGCACACAATTTATGAAACTATTTAAGTAGAAGTTTTGATATCTTCGAACTAGAAGAAACTATTTCCGATATAAAAGCTAATTTAGAAAATAAATATTATGATGCTTTTAAATAAAACTTCATAAATGTCTACTTTATAGGAAAAACCGAAACCAATTTAATTTTATTTATTTATTTAATCATTATTATTGTTTCGAAAAACTACCAATAGCGGATTTAATTCCATAGGGCAGTCTGTCCACCAGTTGACCTTATGATAATGCAGATAGAATAGAATTATTAAGGACAAACGAAAACCAAACTATATTAATTATTTATTATATTATTTAATAAGAATTTAGAATAATTATTATTCTAAATTTTAAATAAATTAAACATTATTAATTCATAGTAGCTTAAAATTATGTCATTGTATTTGGTATAAAAGTAGAAAAGTTAGATAAGTAAGATTACAAGTAGGAAGATTTTCATTCCAGTAAAGTACATCCACTTACTTTACTCCTACATAATACCATTTTTAAAAGCCAATTATTTTTAAAACTGCATTCACGCTTTTTAGTAGATTAAGTTTCAACATATATTTTCCCATGTTGTGTAAATATTTTTCCTACTAGTTAATCTTTATTAGCTGATCCAAATAACTTTAGAAACTATAATTGTAACAGTCAAAACTCAAAAGTGGTTTTGACCAAGGGCGTTAGTCAAAATTACTAGGAAATCATTAAAAATAATTATAAAGAGTAGTATTTGTGTGATTTGTGCATACAAAATAATGACACCTAAGGTACTACAGTAAGGTGACTTTTTTTTTCATAATATTTTTAACAAATCTAGCTTTTTCATTTTTTCAATTTTTATGATGACTATCCTAACTTAATTAGGTAATACGTTATTTTATAGCATGTTTTTATTTTCTTAAATCATCTTTTAATAATTATCTTATACCTGACAAATACCTAGTTTCTTCAAATATGAGAAATAATAAAAAGCAACATTACTTTACCCGATGTGGGTAGATGTCATCATTTTATATGTACAAATCACATAAATGTTACACTCTAAAATAGTTTTATTATATATTTTTGATGATTTTTTTAGGTTCTTTCATTTGTTCCAAACGCACATACTTAAATACTATAAGAAACGTCTATAAAATTTACCTTCACAGTTATTTTAATATCCTCACTGTGTAGATTTTTAAAATATTTGTTTAGATAATCTAAGGGCGTAAAGGACAAATTATTTAGACTTGGGTATGAAAATGTAAGGTTGTATAGGACAATAGATATACTACATGTACATTATACGCCCAAAAATTTGTGTTTACTTGTTCTTTACTACCATGGTAACTGTACTAAAAAATCAAATGGTATTTACATCCCAATTTTCACGATGAATTCTGTTTAGCTTATCAAATATGATGGGTCGTAAAGGCACTTTTTTTGGGAATTTCGACAAACTAAATATACAGATCGATAGAGAATTAAATTCTGAGTAAAACTGTATAAATAACTCATTTTCGGTATTTTGTCCTTTACGACCTTTGAGCCCAGAGGTATCGATATAATAAAAACCACCTGTTATAGGGACATTTTTTTGAGAAATTTATCAAATAACCAAAAAAATACGAATTTTTAAGCAGATTTTTTTCAAAAAGTCTCATTTTTTATTATTTGTTGGCATTTTCTGGGTAGTTTATGTATTTTTTCAGTATTGCCTGTTATTTAGCATTATTATTGTTTTTATTTTATCAGGATATACCGCATAATTTAAAAGTTATTACGTTTTCTTTACAATAAGTAATTGGAAGAAAAAACATTCTATAAAAAATTAAAAAAAAATCGCAAAAAATTTTTGACCTCTTTTTTGTCGATAAAAATAGGTCTAGTTTCGTCTATTTTCATATGTACACTTTAACGTGACTCACACTGTATTTTTGATGATTTTTTAGGTTCTTTCATTTGTTCCAAACGCACATACTTAAATACTATAAGAAACGTCTATAAAATTTACCTTCACAGTTATTTTAATATCCTCACTGTGTAGATTTTTAAAATATTTGTTTAGATAATCTAAGGGCGTAAAGGACAAATTATTTAGACTTGGGTATGAAAATGTAAGGTTGTATAGGACAATAGATATACTACATGTACATTATACGCCCAAAAATTTGTGTTTACTTGTTCTTTACTACCATGGTAACTGTACTAAAAAATCAAATGGTATTTACATCCCAATTTTCACGATGAATTCTGTTTAGCTTATCAAATATGATGGGTCGTAAAGGCACTTTTTTTGGGAATTTCGACAAACTAAATATACAGATCGATAGAGAATTAAATTCTGAGTAAAACTGTATAAATAACTCATTTTCGGTATTTTGTCCTTTACGACCTTTGAGCCCAGAGGTATCGATATGGGTGATATTCCTGCAATTACTTAATTAAAAGTGATTATTTACCTATTTTATTATTTATTTGTAATATGTGCTTTGCTACAAAAATATGCATGATGCCATTATAACACAGCAAAAAGAAACAATAAAAAAGTCACTTGCAAGAAACGATTCCCATTTAATTTTCCAAGTGACAATATAAATCATAATTCATGAGGTAAATAAGAATTGCGCTTTTTATGGCTGTAAGTTTGATGAAGAGTTTATTGCATTAGAAGATGAAATTAGTATACAAGATCTAACTCCAATCATTAGAGTAGGTACAATAAAATGTTAGCAAAAAGCTGCTCCCATAGGTCAAAGAACTGGCCATTACAATGTATCAAGTAAAAACAATAAAAAAAGCACTCGTCGTTCGGAATTCAAACAAAGACTTGTCAGCGGTCGGACGATGCGCCCGCGCCACGGCCAAGCACAAGGACATTGCATATGACTGTTCGGATTTCAAAATTTCAAAAATAGAATCGTATTGTTCGCATTTTGAAAGTGAAGTGGTTGAGTGTTCAAAACTTTTTGTTGTTAATCAAAAAGGTCGTGAAAATGAAAAAAAAGTGCTCATTATCCTTTTTCAAAAAGATGAGTTGCCAGTTAGTGTTCTAATTTTGAATTAGGCCAACGATTGCCCAGAAATACAAAGCACAAAGTCAGGAGAACAAAAATCCTATACAAAAGTTCTTAGTGTAAAGATGTCACTAAGCTGAGACGTGTTTTGCTTTTTAAAACCAAACTTAAGTGGTTTTGTGTGAATAAACACAAGTACAAAGTGTTATTAAACCGTGTTTTTACAGTAATTACGTGTGCAATAGCAAACTTATACAATGTCATGGGAGTATGAAGAGACAAACCATCAATACTATGCAAGCAAAAAGTGTAACACTATAACCAGCGATTTAGAATGATAATGAACTCTATCAAATGGACTTAAGAACTGTAATTCAGTGGTTTCTTAATAAGGAAATTAAACTAAATCAGTGATGTTTAATCAAGTGTTAAGTTCTATGGCTATTACCTTAAATAAGACCTCACTTTAACGTTTCCGTTTCAACTAAACAGACCTATTTTGAATTAAAAAAAATGAAATTTTCATATCAGGAAACTTTTTGACTTAGAAAATTAGTAAAAGAGGACTTGTTAACGTAGAAAAGGAGTGTAAAACTACTTTTTGACGTTAAAAAGAGTGAAAAGTGTATTTCAACTTAGAAAACGGAGAGCAAAAGAACTTGTTGACTTAGAAAAGGAGCGAAAAATATTTTTGAGCTTTTTAGGGTTCCGTAGCCAAAATGGCAAAAACGGAACCCTTATAGTTTCGTCATGTCCGTCTGTCCGTCTGTCCGTCTGTCCGTCTGTCCGTCTGTCCGTCTGTCCGTCTGTCCGTCTGTCACAGCCGATTTACTCGGAAACTATAAGTACTACAGTGATGAAATTTGATGGGAATATGTGTTGTATGAACCGCTACAAAATTATGACACTAAATAGTAAAAAAAAGAATTGGGGGTGGGGCCCCCCATACATGTAACTGAGGGATGAAAATTTTTTTTCGATGTACATACCCGTGTGGGGTATCAATGGAAAGGTCTTTTAAAATGATATAAAGTTTTCTAAAAAACATTTTTCTTAAAGTGAACGGTTTTTGAGATATCAGCTCTCAAAGTCGTAAAAAGTATGTCCCCCCCCCTCTATTTTTATAACTACGGGGTATAAAATTCTAAAAAAAATAGAGGTGATGCATGCTAATTAACTCTTTCAACGATTTTTGGTTTGATCAAAGTATCTCTTATAGTTTTTGAGATAGGTTGATTAAATTGACATAATAAGTTTATTATATTTGCTGCTACGGAACCCTTTGTGCGCGAGCCCGACTCGCACTTGGCCGGTTTTTTAATTCTTAAGAGGTGATGCATGCTAATTAACTCTTTCAACGATTTTTGGTTTGATCAAAGTATCTCTTATAGTTTTTGAGATAGGTTGATTAAATTGACATAATAAGTTTATTATATTTGCTGCTACGGAACCCTTTGTGCGCGAGCCCGACTCGCACTTGGCCGGTTTTTTAATTCTTAAAAAGAACTTTTAACTCACGAGGGGTGTGAAAACAGCTTTTTAAGTAAAAAAAAACAAGTGAAAAACAACTTTTTGACTCAGGAAAGGAGTGATAAAAAACTTTTTGACCTAAAAAACAAGTGAAAAGCAAACTTTTTATTTAAAAATGATTCTGAACTCGACTCTATTGTTGATGGCAGTGTGTGGCCGTCGCCTGTGGCCTCAAGGCCGCATCGTGGGGGGCCAGAAGTCGGCCTTCGGACAGTGGCCCTGGCAGATCTCCCTCCGTCAGTACAGGACTTCGACGTACCTTCATAAATGTGGTGCTGCTCTGCTGAATGACAACTGGGCGATCACCGCTGCGCATTGTGTTGAGCAGTAAGTACTTTGATTTTGTATAATCCTCATCGGTACCTCTAGCATGAACAACTTTCGTCTTCGAATCGTTTGCGTATTCGACAAAATTCGCTACTCAACCTTCGAATGTAACGATAAAGTGAAAATTTTGATTCTCAAAATTAGTTTTTTGCAACCATTTCTCTTACTAAGTTCACTTTACGACACGTTCACAAGGACGATGTTGTAGTTTTCGTACTAAATCTTTTGATGGCGATTCAAACGATTCGAACTGGAAAGTTTTTCGTGCTAGCCGTACAGGTCATTTAATTTCAAAAGTTGAGCAGTTCTAATGTTCATATAATATTTAGTCGCCCTTAGTCGCCTCTTACGACATCCATGGGAATTTAATGGGGGCTGGTTTTATTCTACTTTGGTGGACCTGTTTATTTACTGAGCTTTTAATTAACTACCAAGCTTCTCTCGCAGTTTTGTATTTATTTTATTTTATCTATTAGGACAACCAACAAGACAAACACGCATACATGGAATTACTATAGCTAAAAGTGCTTAGAACTAAGTGTTGTCTTAATTAGAGGCTGCCACGACATGACATGGACAGTTTTATTGCGATTCTTCTCTTATTAGGGACTCTATCATGAAATAATGATTAACTTTTAGTGAATTCTGACTGATAGAGTTCAAAAATAAAATACGAAGATATTTTATAATACACATGAGTTACAGCATAAAGTCCTACTAGAAGTTAATCCTGATTTATTTTTATACAATGTTAAGTCTCTATCTTAAGGAATAGCTCACTTACGCTATCTTTAGAGTCTTGGAGCGTGCAAAGCTGCGAGACAAGCTTAGTTTTTTTAGTTATTTATAAAAACAATCATTACCAAACCTACGTCATACTTTGGATATAAAAGGAAAAATCCTCGCAAACCATACGTGCGTCCTTTATTGTCGATTAACCTGCATGGGGTCAAAATATAAGAGTCAATTGATACGTGTTTACGTGCATCAATGTCCTTAGAGGTTAAATCGACTTTGATTTTATTGTTGAAGTTACATCTATTGAGTTTTATTGATCAATCAACAGACAGAGCAGTCAATATTGACTTCAAACATCGTAAATCTGTACATAAATCGTACTTTTGTCGCTGATGGACGTTTTGGGTAAAACTGCAAGTCTGAGAAAATGACTCTACACTTTTGAAAAATTAAAAGTTACATGCGTCTACACTACCCACGCCGGCCAGACATTTTAGGGAGGCCCAGATAATAATTTTAATCTTCTTGATAGTATATTAATTGCTAAGCTAGTGGATATAACATTATTTAATACTTTTCCAGCGTCCCACCTTCGGAACTGCTGGTCCGCCTCGGGGAGCATGACCTGGCGAACGACAACGAGCCCTTCGGCTTCGCGGAGAGAAGGGTGCAGATCATAGCCAGCCATCCGCACTTCGACCCAGCTACGTTTGAGTACGACCTGGCTTTACTCAGGTAAGAGCTATAATCTAGCTGATAGATAGTCGCGCGCCCCTTAGAGAGACATCGAACTTTCACTGTTATTAGAATTACGGTTACATTATTTTCAGTCGGTGTCTTCTCCAAAGGACGCATAAGCAAGGGCGTCCGCAGAAGACCAGCTCCGTGACTTACCCTTTTGAGCATGTCACGATAATTGCTGAGCGGGTGCCTTTTGGCACAGTTTTTTCTCACCTTTACCTCTTTGTTTTAATAGCCTGCATGCATCATATCGATACCTCTGGGCTCAAAGGTCGTAAAGGACAAAATACCGAAAATGAGTTATTTATACAGTTTTACTCAGAATTTCATTCTCTATCGATCTGTATATTTAGTTTGTCGAAAATCCCAAAAAAAGTGCCTTTACGACCCATCATTTTTGATAAGCTAAACAGAATTCATCGTGAAAATTGGGATGTAAATAACATTTGATTTTTTAGTACAGTTACTATGGTAGTAAAGAACAAGTAAACACACTATGTAATAAAAAAACAGCCATGCCTATCTATTTTGCAAAAACATTTCAAAAACATATTATTTCCATAAACCCACACCATGCGAAATTGTTGACTATGCTCAACATTAACCAACCACATTAAATTGTCAAGCATAATATTTTGTTGAGTATACTTAACGTTCATGTTTACAGACCTGTAGTGTTTATTTCCGAATTAGTCGTTGCTTGAAAATAACAAAATTGTAATGTTTATAAGTCATATAAATAGGAATAAACGAAATTATTTGATAATTAGGTACATACGAAACATAGTAAAATAATAATATTTACCTGAGCAGTCCGCAGAGCAAATCTTCTAGTCACCATTTTGGCTCACTAATGTCAAAGTTAAAGTTGCCAGCCACTAAAAATATTTTTTTCTACCATTATGGCATGTAAATAATACGTTTCAAAACCAAATTATAGGCATGACACCCATAGATAAATTATGACATTGTGTCAAAGTAAGTGTTGAGGATACTTAACGAAATTAAATTAAGGGTCCTATTCTCTAGTATTATCCGCATTTTTTAATTATAGTTAGTGTCCCAAAGTGGTGGTAGAGCAAGTTGTATTTGGGATGTGTATACTTGTGAGTGCCCTAAAGGAGCCACATACACTTAACAGTTGCCTGTTGTAGATATTTCAGCAAACCTAGATCTTTGGTTTCAAAGAGGAAGTCCTCTTTGCAACCAATTTAAATAACTTACTTAAGTTATAGTTAGAAATTCAACCAGATTATCTGATCTCATACTCGCACTTTTAGGATCAGTAACCAGTTTTTCGATATATTGTATAATTTAGAAATAATCGAATGAGATCACTTATCGTTTTCACTCTGTATAAATACAGAGACGGAGTGGTCAGAGGTGGAATTGTGTAAAGCAATCGTAATCATTTGACAGTTCATAACGTACGATAAAGTCAGTTAAACAAAGCGTTTGACAGAATAATCATACGTTATGAACTGTCAAATGATTACGATTACTTTATACCGAGGTGGAATTGTTTAAAGCAATCGTTATCATTTGACAGTTCATAACGTATATACCATTATTCTGTCAAACGCTTTGTTTAACTGACTTTATCGTACGTTATGAACTGTCAAATGATTACGATTGCTTTACACAATTCCACCTCTGGCAAAGCCTTAAGTTTTGCGATTTCAATGTCAATTTCTATTTTAGAAAATGACATTGAATTTGCAAAATATTTCCTGGAACGCCGAAAGCTTGCTTCAAATTATACCTTCTCCTTCAATCCAAACCAAACGTGCAATTTACAAAGATGACACCCACATGGCACATTGTCATTCGCTAACGGCTAACTGTGATTCTAATGTGATGTCAATACCAGCTTAGAGGTCAAGTGCAGTGGTGAGTGACCGCACCGCGTGACGTAGTAAAAACTAAGTTATTAATAGAAAGAGGCTGTATCTCAAATTGGGCCTTTTTTACTTAGGGGTTTCTTCTCTTACGGATGAAGGCATGTCCGTAAACATGCTTTCATCGGTAGAGATGTAGAGAGGGTTTACTTATCTTTAGTTTCTACTTATCTTTTCCTACTTCTCACTGTTGACGTGATACCTACGTATCATCAGTCAGACATACATTTTTCCTTCATGAGTTTGGTATTAAATCCACATTTGACGTAGATCTCGATACTGCAGTACAGATTATTTTAGTTATATCGTCCACCGCTCTATTTCCGTTCAAACAAAAAAAAATATTTCAAATACAAATACAAATACAAATACAAAAATCATTTATTGTGAATCATAGGTGAAATGGTGACATGTTACATTAGGTAGTATCACTATGTTCCGCTCAAAGAGCATACAATTTGTCAGACAACAATAAAATTTGGCAGTTACATAAACTAATTAGATTTATCGTCAAAGAATTCAGATATATTATAATAACATTTATTAATTAAATAAGTCAGTAAAGTTTTTTTAAATGAATTTAGATGTTCAATTAATCTAATGTCTTTTGGTAATTTATTTATAATCTTGGGTGCCATGCCTACAATATTCTTAGCAAAAAAAGTTGTCTTATAAGGATCCTTACATATTAAATTCTTGTCGCGTGATCTGTGATGACTTCTGAATAATGTTGGGTTTTGTCTGACGAAGACCGCAACTTCATAAATATACATAGATGGCAAAGTTAGAAGGTTCAACCGTATAAAGTGAGGTTTACATGTATCTGTGGGTTTTAGCTGGCAGATTGCACGTACGCATCTCTTCTGTGCTCTGAACACTAGCTCTCGGTCAGTAGCATTACCCCAAAAGATTATCCCGTATCGTAAGATTGACGCGACGTATCCGTGATATGCCGTTAATACTGTTGATTCATTGGATATCTTCCGCAACATGTATAGGGCATAAGAGAACTTACTTAGTTTTTTGCATAAAGATTGTATTTGAAAAGTCCATCTTAATTTATTGTCTAAATCCAACCCATTTCCACATTTTCAAAAAATTTTAAGAGTATTTGAATTGGCTGATGGTGTCCGATCCTTCATTTCTGTCAAATAACACCAACACTGCAGTGACAAGTCAAGTGACGTCAAAAACACTGCAGAACGGTAGTAGTTCTTGCAACTCACGAAGGAGAGTGAGCTTTACATGTATGGTGGCTCGCTACTGTTCGTTTTTCAAAAGTTTTGATAGACTTTACATTATCGTTATGTGCATGTACACGTACACACACAGGTAAAGCTCACTCTCCTTCGTGAATTGCAAGAACTACTTTTTTTTTTATCCACAACGAGGAAGCTATTGGCCTGTATCTCACCTGATGCTACCGTACTGCAGTGTTTTTGACGTCACTTGACTTGTCACTGCAGTGTTGGTGTTATTTGACAGAAATGAAGGATCGGACACCATCAGTCAATTCACATACTCTTGAGCTTTTTTGAAAGATTTTTTTTTTGTTTGAACGGAAATAGGGCGGTGGACGCAAATGGGCGACATGACCCTACTTTCATGAATTCTAAACATGCTACTATTTCGTTTATTTAATTTAAAACCATTTAGCACCTCAGTACATAACTTGACTGGTTTTTTTTTTGCATTATCGAGGTCGGTCCATTGTGAACTGTTGGGGGTAAAAAAAGTTTTATAGCTCTTTGTATCTAAGGCGTAGGCTATTAAATTGATTAATTAACTTTACAATTAGTACTTGTAACATTTGGAACAGTTACGAATATTACGAAATATTTTTTGATGTCAAGAACGTAGAAGAAATGAATTTTGTAATTTTGACCTCAGCAAAATCCTGCCTACCAACACGAGGCTCTAAGCAAAATTCACTATAGAGCTAAAATAAAATAAATAAAAGCGAAAGTAAATCTTTTGGTCTATATTTTAGGTACCTTTCAGCTTTAAAGCCGTATCCAGACGGGTGTAACGTGTAATGGAATGTATCGTGTAATGTAATGAAAATAGTCTGGGCAGCACACTTTAGTGCTGCCTATTAAAGTGACTCTTAATCAGTCAATATCACTTTTCACTGATTTTTCCATTCAAAAGTGGTTTTGACCAAGGGCGTTAGTCAATAAAACTACTTTTGACTGCAAAAAAACACTCAAAAGTGATATTGACTAAGAGCATTGCAGTCAAAAGTGGTTTTGACCGATATGAGCTTTGACTGTATTATTTATCTAATGATTGAAACGAACGATTTTTTTAAATGTCCCCTTCTTCCCACAGGTTCTACGAGCCGGTGACGTTCCAGCCCAACATCCTCCCGGTGTGTGTTCCCGACAACGACGACGACTACGTGGGGAAGACTGCCTACGTCACGGGCTGGGGACGACTGTATGACGGTCAGTGTTGCACTTATTTTAACTAGCTAAACTTGACCTTCACTGGTTGGTTTTTATTGGCGGTCAAGCTGTAGACCCTGGCTAGATAGGAGTTGCAGCGGTAGGAAAGAGAGGTGGGAATAGTCCCGATTTTAGAATGATTTCACCCGTGGCTTCGCTCATGTTCACATTAGGGAATATCTTTTAAAATATAGAATCACGGGTCTAAATGAATGTCTAAATCCTTATCTAATCTTGTCTCTCCATACAAAATTTGGCCCCTTATCGTCCTCTTGGAGGGTCATTTTTAAAAAATTCGCACCCTGTAGTCGGGTCTCCAGCTGCGCGTGTTTTGCCCTACACATTCAACAAAACATGTCAACATTCAACATTTTTTGTAGGCAATTTTGTTGAATGCTGAGTTGTTTATTTGTTTGGTTGAACGCGCTAATCTTAGGAACTACTTTTTAAAAAATATTTTAGGGTCATTCCACCGGCCAAGAAAATCACGTGTCCGGGGCCAAAAAGTACCCGAATATCATAATATTTTAGTAACAAATATTTTTATCTAATAGTATAACTTTGGTTCTTGTTGTTAAACCACAGATATAGTTAATAATAGTTAATTAAGTAATTTAAAAAAAATCGTAAGTCGTCAAAAATTGATTACCACGACGTGTCCGCGCTCCCGATTTCAGAACAAATTTGCTCGTATAAATTAATCCGTTATTATTACCGCTTTTAATGCTTATGTAATCGATTACTGATTAAATAAACATTGATAAATTAAATACGATATAACTATATGACTAAAAAGTTTTGTAAAATAACTATTTGAAGTTGTGTCCGGGCGTTAACCGTGATTACCCCGACACGTCACTAATGTGCGCCTACGTCCCTAGCTACGCAATTTAGAAACGAGCTCTATCCTACCCCGTGAACCTTTAGTGGTGGCCTGCGTGCCAAGGTGATCGGTAATGCAACTCGTCGCAGGATTTCGGAGTTATCGAGATAAGAATATGATTACCCCGACCTTGGTTCAGTGCACGATTGATTTACTCTATCCTGTTTTTTTAGGTTTCTTTACATGGAAAGTTCTTGAGAATGTACAGGAATAATGGTCCATGTAACCGCATTTTTGTGTATTAAAACATATGGGATTCAACTTACAGATTGGGCAGGGCTCAGGATAAACCTTAATTTTTTGACTACCCCGACCTTGATTACCCCGACTTTTGTCACCGAGTAATCAATAATACTGTAATTTTACTAATGAATGATTAACTAAATAACGTTTAATAAGCAAAATTACCCTTTACTAAAATGAAATCCTATCTCCTATTAATACATAGATAATGTTATCCCTCAAAATTGGCAAGACCCCTGGACTCGACCTTATCACCGCTGAAATGCTGTAAACCGATGTAAACTCCGCCGTTAACGTCCTGACACCTGTCTTCGAAAACATCTGGATGGAAGAGGAACTCCCAGACGCCTGGCATAAGGGGCTTCTAATTATTGTGCCGAAAAAAGGGTAAAGCAAGGGTATCAGTACCGGAAGACCCAAGAGATGCGATCTGGAGTGAGGAATTGCACACCGTTGGTGCAGAGGATGTCCAACGAGTCCACAATTTCACTTACCTCGGGAGCATCGTTTCAGAGCCTGGAGGTACCGAAGAGGACATCACTTCGCGCATTGCCAAGGCCAGAGCTACCTTCGCACAACTTCGAGCCGTATGGCAGTCACGGAAATTGACCCAAGCAAGATCAAAATATTCGGGTCCAACGTCAAACCAGTTCTGCTCTATGGGCGTGAAACGTGGAAGGTCACTAAGGTTATCTCGCACCAGCTGCAGATCTTCTTCAGCCGCTGTCTTCGCCGAATTCTCCAAAATCTTCAAACGACGAACTTTTGGAACGCTGCCACGAAATACCGATCTTTCAGCAGAATAAACGCTGCAAGTGGAACTGGATCGGCCACACTCTCCGAAGGGACCCCGATCACATCCCCAAGCAGGCTCTAGATTGGAACCCCCAGGGAAAATGCAAACGTGGTCGCGCCAAAAAAACATAGCGGCGCACTGTTAAGACTTGGAGCGAGATCAAACACGAAGCTCAAGACCGAATGCGATGGAGGACTGTTGTGGACGCCTTCTGTCCCATATAGGAGACATAGGACATTGAGTCACTAATATTATATGTATAATGTAAATGTATGTTTTTTACTCTTTTACGCAACAACTACTTAACAGATTTTATTGAAACTTTACAATATTGTCGTTTATACATCAAAATAACAAATGGTTAGTTATAATAACATTTATTTTACCATAACTTTAAAAAAAACCTTAGAAAATAAAATATTTTGTTTTATTTTTGATTACTCTGACCCCCAACTTTGATTACCCCGACCATGAAAATTTTGATGTCGCATAACTTTTTATTCCTGCTTGCTACAGATGGGCCAATATAAAAAATATGCTCGTAATAATGTATATTTTGAAATGTTTTACCTAAACTTACTCTAAATTAAAAAATAAAAAAGGTCGGGGTAATCAACAAAATAATCCAGATCCGGAGAATGACCGTTTAGTGTTGCATCTTGGATAGCCCATAATATCCATCAATGAATAGTAGTAAAGCATTAATGAGAAGTGTTGCGAAAACGGGAAAAAAAATCAAACTATTTTTCTAAGTCGTGGTCTATAGCGCCTACCTCTGTATCTGTTATCTGATAATAATAACTTGTCAAAACAGTTACCACCAGTTTCTACCTCCATTCCAGACGGCCCGCTCCCTAGTGTCCTGCAAGAAGTACGAGTGCCAGTCATCAACAACTCCCTCTGTGAAGCCATGTACCAGGACGCAGGGTACAACGAGCATATCCCGAACATATTCATCTGTGCGGGCAGGAGGAAAGGCGGCGCTGACAGTTGTGAAGGTAACCTTATTTTATTTATAGCTGTGTTGCACAAATCCTCCATAAGGTGTGAGGCCGATGGGGCAGCAAGGTTCTGGAGTGGAGGCCACGTACCGGAAAACGCTGCGTAGGACGTCCACCCACAAGGTGGAGCGACGACCTGATAAAGGTAGCAAAAAGGCGCTGTATACAGACAGGCCGCTACCAACCGTGCAATGTGGAAGTCATTGGGGGAGGCCTATGTTCAGCAGTGGACGTCCTGTGGCTGAAATGATGATGATGAGGAAAGGCGGCGGCGCCGACAGTTGTGAAGGTAACCTCCTTATTTATAACTGTATTGCACAAATCCTCCAAGAGGTGTGAGGCCGATGGAGCAGCAAGGTTCTGGAGTGAAGGCCACGTACCGGAAAACGCAGCGTGGGACCTCCACATACAAGGTGGAGCGACGACCTGATAGTAGGAAGGCGCTGGATGCAGGCCGCTACCAACCGTGCAATGTGGAAGTCATTGGGGGAGGCCTATGTTCAGCAGTGGACGTCCTGTGGCTAAAATGATGATGAGGAATACTGTATTGCACAAATCCTCCAAGAGGTGTGAGTGCCAGTCATCAACAACTCCCTCTGTGAAGCCATGTATCAGGACGCAGGGTACAACGAGCACATCCCGAACATATTCATCTGTGCGGGCAGGAGGAAAGGCGGCGCTGACAGCTGTGAAGGTAACCTTATTTTATTTATAGCTGTGTTGCACAAATCCTCAAAGCGGTGCAGGGTGGCACGCCCAGAATGTTGGGCTACGGATTTGAAGATGATACTTGATAGTATTAACACAGGTATTAACTCATGAGCTATACAAATTGCACCCCTCCTCCCCATGACATGGCATGTCAGCCCCCCAAATGTTGTAACAGAGGTGGATTCTAACAAAGTCAATTTCTCTGAACCTAAACCTGTTTATCGGGCTAGCAACTTTGCGAATTCGTCGATCTTTCGACACACCACAGTTTGCGTGAAATAGTCAGATCCTTAACTGTCATAGGCGCAGATAATCGGCTTTGTGACAACTCACCTCTGTTACAACTCTCCTCGGTCTCCCCTACCATACTATACTGCATCTCACTTAGAGTAGACACACACCGTTGATTTTTAGTTGGCCAATAGTTGTGCTCGATTTTAATTTGTATGACGAATCGGCCAAATCGGATCGGCGTAGTGTGCGCACTCCCATACATTCCCATACTGATCAACTGCCCGACTAAACTATCGGCCGACGAAAAATCAACGGTGTGCGCCTACTCTTACATAAGGGGCGATTGCGCTCAAATACCTGCCTTGTTCTGCATAAAAAAGATGCTATAAATACCCAATTCTATTCTAAGTAAAAGAGGAAGTGGCTAATAAGATCAAAATGACCAAAGATGCTTATTATTATGGCAAATTCCGTGATTGCAAAAACAACCCCAAGAAGACTTGGAGTCTCATAAATAATCTATCTAATCTTAAAATGAAAAGCAGCTGTGCTCCGCCAAAATTAGTAACATCAACTAATATATCATCTGACCCCGAAGGTATTTGTAATATATTTAACCAATATTTTTCCACTATCGGATCTGTTCTGNTCTACATAAATAGTATAGATAAAATTGGACTACACGGTCATATTACCTTATACGCTGATGACACCTGTTTGTTCTATTTTGGGCCATCCATGAATAATCTAATCTCACATGCCCAACATGATCTTGACACTCTCACAACCTGGTTGCAACAAAATCTATTAACAATTAATGCATCTAAAACTTCATACATTATTTTTAAAGCGAAGAATAAGCACATACCTCCATTCAACCCATTGACAATCTTCACTACATCATTACAAGAAAAAAAACACGAAAAATATTTAGGTCTTTATTTAGATAGCCACTTAACATGGAACGTTCATATTGACCATATTAAGAAAAAAATTTCCGCATTAATGGCTTCTTTACGCCCCATAGTACGATGCATACCCCGCAAATCAAGATACAATATATACAACTCACTTGTAAAATCCCACCTAATATACCTTGTTGAAATCTGGGGTAGTGCTTCAAAAACAAAAATATCCGAACTCCAAGTCTTACAAAATAAAATCATTAAATTATTATTTCATTATCCGTACCTCACATCCACTTCCAAGATTTATAGCGAAACACAAATTATGAACATTAAAAAATTATTTATGTATTATACCTGCCTGCTCATACGCAACGTATTGAATAAAACCATCCATACGTCGCTCACTCTGATGACGCGGTCAGAACAGGTTCCGAAGCGCACGCGCCGTCGCGCTAGCTATTTGGTTCTACCCAAGATACGCACAAATTACGGCAAGCGAATGCTTAACTTTGAGGGAGCACAGTTGTTTAATAAACTACCCGCATCAATAAAAAGCATTGACTCCCTAAATATTTTTAAAAAGAAACTTGCCCTACATATTCATGACGTTGTAGAATGAGCCTTACTTATTAAATTTAATGTCTAAAACTAATAGTTACAATTTAGAAAATTATATTTAATTTTGTTTTGAACCTATATTATACTGATTTACTTTTTATCGCCAATCAGATGGTATAATTTGCTAAAGCCAATGCTTTTTATAAAACATATCGGTGCGAACGATTCAAATGTAAATTATACTTAGTTTAATTTTGTTCTCAAGTAAGTGACAATTATGTTTTTATTGAGAAATAAAGAATCTTTAAACCTCTTTAAACCCAATTCTATTCTCCAGGCGACAGCGGAGGCCCAATGGTGGTGCAGCGAGACCGGGACAACCGGTTCGTTCTCGGCGGGGTCATCTCCTGGGGCATCGGGTGCGCGGAGCCCAACCAGCCGGGCGTGTATACCCGGATCTCCGAGTTCCGAGACTGGATCAACCAGATCTTACAGTTTTAGGGCCCTTTCCCACGGGAATCCGGTTTTGTGAGATCCTTACTGGACCCCGCATATCTGGACTTGTGGGATGGAGCCTTAGGGTCATTTGCAGTTCCCTCTATCTCACTATGTACTTTGCTGGACGATTGAGGGGACCCCCAAAAAAAAACTCAATCTTGGTCCCCTCGATCCCTAGCCCCCAGTTGGTTAAAGACGGCCCTGGTCGTTTTGACAGATACTAGTGTGAGGTTTGACAGGGATGACTACAGTTTGGGAATTGACCATACAATTGCTACTCGTTGGTCCCAAAGTTGGTCCTACCGCCACTCGTCCAACGTGTAGACCTACCCAGATAATAGCTTGTCCACCAAACTTTAGTGCCAATAGGCTATTTTCTAGATCCTCACATCTGACGAGTGGTTTTGGCAGTTGGCACCAACATTGGGTTTGACGTTTCCAGCCATTGCAGCCTTAAAGTTTTTGAGTGGTTTGACATTAATAAATAGCAAACCACCGTAATTTTGAAATGACATTAAAAGTTTGAGAACGTTCTTGGCTTGAATTCACTTGAATCGAAGATCGGGCTATATTTTTGTACCTTTAGCTTTAGCAGCTCAATAGGTACTGCGAAGGGTTAAAAAGATAACAAAACCTTTTTTATTGAGTTTTCTAAAACTAGTTTTAACTGTTAGACATTTTTCATTAGATTTTTTCTTGATACTTTACGTACATACGCCCACACTGTTAACTATCAATTTCCGTTTTTGCTCTCGCTCTAATCAAATGGCGATTCTTTGCGATAGAACGAGATGACATGACTTTCAATGGGCAGTTAACACTGTTGGCGATAGTACATTTCATGAATATGTCAAAAAGCTTCTTTACATCGGAAAACAAAACCAATTCACAAGCTTAAATTATGGTAGAGACTTGTGGTAGAGACAGATTAACTTACTTAATTTAAGAGTCGTGCAGTGATACTTGTTGGTAATAGAATAGTAAAATATTAGATTAAAAACAGTGTTTTGTATATTTTTGCCAATTTGAAAATAAATAAAAATTGGTACAAATAAAAAGAAGACTGGAATGTGGTGCTAATTCGGTCCAAAAATAAAATTAATTATTTTTGTTAAAAATGTGAAAACTACGTAAATAAGTAGAATTTATTTTAACAACGAATTTAGAAGACTATTTTCTATTTGTGTATTAGTTAGATAATTATTTATTTTTGTTGTCAATTTAAGTTTAATTGTTATGAATCTTCCGAATTTATAATTAAGTACTTAATTAACTAATAATTTGTAAAAATGCATTATTTTGTTGCTTTTTATTTTAATAAGGATAACAATTTCAATCTACAAATAGCTCAAATAGTTTTTTTAATTTCACAAAATAATTTTACATTCCATTTTTATCAATAACTTTACGTAACAGATCTAAACTAAGTATAAAATAAGATTAAATGTAAATATTTTATATGAATTTGACTTGAAAAGATGCATTTATTAAATATATTTATAGTTAGCCATATAAAAAGTATGAGAATGGTTCAACGTATGTTAGAAACATACAAGGACAAAATGGTCTAATAATAAACACACAAAATATTAACGAAGTTTTCTTTAAAAGCTCCTCTCTTTTAACATTAACGTGACGTTATCATTCATTACCCACCCACAAGGTGGACCGATGACCTCATAAATTTAAAGGTAGCAGGAACTGCAGGAAGGCGCTGGGTGCAGGCCGCTACCAACCGGTCATTATGGAAATCATTAGGGGAGGCCTATCTCTACCAGTCTTCAGGTTGGGTAGAGCAGATCTCAATCTAAATATCTAATAATAATAATAATAATTTAAGTTATATTGTACTGGTATTCACTTGGTTTAGGCCCGTGAATACCATTAAAACACCGATGGATAAGACATCGAGATACACAAAGTGTAAACAAGAATAATAATAATAAATAAATAAAATGTTTATTGCCATTAAATCAATGTAGAGACTACAGAGTATTCTTATGACTAGCGGCTTCTGCACTGGTCTGAGAACACACAAGTCAACTCTAAAGTCAACTCATTTACATAGGTTCAGGTAGGTATTTCCCCGAAAAAAAAAAGGTAACCTAACCTAGATTAAAATACTACAATAGGTAGGTTACCTACTTAACTACTAGCTTTCCGCCCGCCGCATCGCCCGGGTGAAATTTTTTTTTTCAAAAACCGGAATAAAAACTTTCTAATGTCCTTTCCCCAGGACTCGCAAGTCGCAACTATCTCTATGTCAAATTTCATCAAAATCGGTTCAGTGGTTTAGGCGTGAGAGCGACACAGACAGACAGTTACTTTCGCATTTACCAACTTATAATATTAGTAGGGAGGGATTATTATTTTACTCCCAAGCGCAACTACCCCTTTTCCTCAAGGAAATCAAAACATAACTCTCAATACACAAAAATGAAATTAACCAATTAGGTACATAAGTAAAAGCAACAAGTAGTTTTTAATAAGTCGAATCAAGAAACAGATTTTCAGAAACAATATTGTCCAAAAAATGTGGAACGCTTCACGATTTTGCGTGTCATCCTTGCGCAGGGGCCATGCTAATCTTCTCTGTATCGTTCCAATTTTAGTATATGTACTGCCGAAGCAAGTACACTTGGTAAGGCCGAAAATTTCTATATATACTAAGCGGGATAAAAAATCAAGATACCGCGATTCAGGTTTTCATACTTCCAAACCCATTTGTATGGAGCTGTCAAAACAGCGCCATCTATTGGCGGTTTTTACAAATAACACAACTGTCTCTCTCACACGTGTTGAAAAACTATCGTGGAAGAGCGAGACAGCAGCAGAGCCCTTTTAAAAATGGCTACCTGTCAAGGCCCACAGATTATACAGACAAGACTGACACAAATTCATAAACACATCCCATTCTAAGATCAAAGTGTAGTGTGTAGCACATCCCATTCGCGATGACTTTATTTGTTTATTTTCTATTAGGTACTGCTATTACTAAGGTGTAGCGGTTCTCTATTACAAAGTGATTAATTGCTCAGTGCATTCAACTTTTAATTTGCTCCCGATGGCTAGTACAAGACTACAGTACCTACTCATTTCGACCGTCCGGCGACCGATCAATACTTCTAACAATAAATTGCACTCAACATGACTCAACACGGCCTGGTTGCTTTCTCATCGTACTCCTCAGACTTCCCTCTACTAGGTAAATGGATTAAAATGTAGGAGAGGATCCACTAAATAGATTAATTAAAATGTAGGAGAATCCGGTCGGGTTGTGTAGAACATGAAGAAATTATTTGAAATAGATTTTTCATGCTACCCTCTTCTTATCTAACAAAATATCACCGTGAGATGTGCTCCGAACTCCGAAACTCGACATTTTGATTGAAGTACCTACCAATTATTTTTTACTAACTTTAGCCCACGTGAAATTAATTTGTCACAGATCGTCATAAATTAATAGCTTAGATGTTATTCTGGGTCATAAACAATAATACTGTAGTTTCATCAAACTCCGTTCAGTAGTTTTTCGAATGAAAGAGTAACAAACATCCAGACATCCAAACTTTCGCACTAATATTAGTAGGATGAAAATAAAGAGCTGCTGAAGAAAATTTGAAGCACAAATACCTCATTCGTGCTTCAAATTTTCACTGAAGTTTTAACAGTGTGCAAGTCGAAAATGTGCATTTTACAGATTGATCGGAAAAAAGCACACGGTATTTCTTTATCAAATGGCATCAAAAATAACTTACGCACTGTTACAACTTCAATGACGATAGGTAACGTAAATAAAAATCATAATTATTATTGTAACTTTATTAAGCTATCGAGCTGGCGTTGGAAGCGATACGGGGCCACAGATCCGCGCACTCCTTCGCTACGGGACCGGTGATAGCTGATCCCTTCATCTCTCCCTTGTTGTTTACTATCACACCCGCATTGTCTTCGAAGTATATGAAGACACCATCCCGCCTTCTGAAAGGCTTCCGCTGCCTTATCACCACTGCTGGCATTACCTGAAAAGAGACGTTGGAGAATTAGTTATATTTACAGATGTGGATATTGGTAAGGGTGGCTTTTGTCCAATATTTGATTAGATGACAGCTACTTGTATAGAAAAATGCTTTAAAAAAATGCTGTTAATAATTTAGGATTTGCTATAGTACTGTGTGGGTTGAAACCTGGTATCAGACATGATAAATGGTTTTTGTAATATTGTGTGACATTGGTTACTCTCACTTATTAAGTTATTATACATAACAATATTGATTTTATGGTTATTATTGTTGCATGGCAGGCTAAGCTTTAAATTTTAAATAGTCCCGCATTTATTTTTTGATGGTAGAAACTTAATTACATTTTTATAATGGTATGGACCTTTGAAATATGTAATCAACTTTATCATTTAAAAAAACCAGGTTCATCCAAGCTGGAAATGTACTAAAAAAACTGGGAAACCAGTCAGTAAGGTCCGTTTTTAATTATTTCATGTATTTTAAATACTTTTTCAAAAACTAGACACTAGTGTAAGTTCTTAGAAGTAGAAGATGAGCAATTCCACACAATCACTCATAACAATATCTACATGATTCATTTTATTAAACTTCTAGCTTACAAACAAGCCATTTCAGCCACTTATACTGTTGCCCGAGTGCTGACGGTTGCAGCACACACAGTAATTGTAGATGTTACTGTCATTTAGGCTCTGCTCAGTCAGCCAAGGTGTATCATCAGTCCGTTTCACGGTACAGATGTAAAATATAGCGAAACCTTTGGTGTATCATCATTGCAGGCCTTATGACAGAAATCTTGCACTAAAAACAATACAAAAGGCAACGCTTTCAATAAAATACTAGTACATATTACTGTGGTTATGGAATAATAAAGTAATATTCATTATTTTTTTATTTGTATTTACAAAAACTCCTTTTTAGAAATCTGTTGAAAATGCATTTACAGTAGAACGCCGATTATCCGAATTAATTGGGACCGGGGTCGATTCGGATAATCGAAAATTCGGATAATCGGACATAGACTTGTAATAGAGAAAAACGAACTGTCACACATAGAATAAACTTTAATAAGTTTAACAAACAGATCTATTTCTACTGAGCATTATTGTAGAACTGCTACAATAACGCTCAGTTGAAATATGTCTGAGTTTACAACAAAACAAATCAAAGATTACTTTGTTTTAATTTTTATATTACGGTTAGGACCGATTCGGATAATTGGCGATTCGGATAATCGGCGTTCGGATAATCGGCGTTCTACTGTAATGTTAGACCCCGTGATCCATTCATAGTAATTTCATTATAGACTGTGTGATAGGTAATTTTATTTTTTTGAGAAGCAGTTCTAAATACCATTTACTATCATCATAAGGCTGGGATTAGGCCTTTCAATCATTATCTGGCAATTGTTTTCATCATTATTACACATTTACTAGTTCTGTTCATCAATGTGGTATTTTTTAACTTCTGAAACAAAACACAAGTGAAATTACCTTTTTTCTGAGTTCAGGTTTGCCCTTCTTAACTGTGGCGACGATCATGTCTCCGGAACCGGCGGCCGGCAGTCTGTTCAGGCGACCCTTGATGCCCTGCACGGCAATGACATACAGGTTTTTGGCCCCTGAAACGGTGGGAAAAAAATTAAAACTTGACTATAAACTTGTGTTATATTCACAGATTGCTTGTTTTTGAGTGGCTTCCTTTGGAGTTATTGGGAGTTACGATGTATAAACGGTGTTTTTGTACATTTACAGATAGATATGAACTTCATCAGTTGCAACAATGTGACTGATGGTTTTGTTTATAGCACTTTCTGGACACTGAATAACTTCAGACACAGCCAAGGAAGAAATCATCATGATTCAAAACACTTAAAGTGTTGTATTTTAAAGCATCATCACCAGTTACTCAGTCAAGTGTGCATCATAGGTTATGTTTTACAAACAAACTCGTTTCGTACCTGTGTTGTCTGCGCAGTTGATGACGGCACCCACTGGGAGACCCAGCGAGATGCGGAACTTCGCTCCCGCGGAACCACCACGTCCTTAAAACAGAAAAACCACACTTCATCCATTGAACTCAAACACCATAACACTAGTCAAAGGTTAGGGATGAAACTTCCGAAATATACATATTAACGTGACAAATAGGGTGCCAGTTAGTTGCTCACATGATTCTAAATAAATTTATACACTGCAAAATAAGATTGAAATGGATATTTTATATTTTCACACACCTCTCTTAGACATTTTGTTGTGTCAATTTTTGAAAGGAAATTGAAAGAGCGTGAATTTAGCTGCGTATTACGAGTTTGACTTTTCGTTCAGAAATTTGACGGTAACATACATACCTGAAGTTAGCCATGATTCAAAAAATATTTTTTCTTTGAATTTTACTCCATATCATCAGCCAATTTTAACGCAATACTCGCACAATAATCGTAAAATGAATTGTTAATATTGTAAATTACATTTATTTAATGTGAAATTATTATTTCAAGTAAGACTAATAAAAGTTTACAACAATTGATTTTTGAACGAAAGCATTGCTTACTCCATT